CCGAAGCCCTAAACCCTTTTCCCAAACCCCACACCCTAAACCCCAAACCCTGAACCCTAAACCCTCAACCCTGAGCCCTAAACCCTTATCCTCAACCCCCTACCCCTAAGCCTAAAACCCCAAACCCGTAAAAAGGGCTTTGTGGAGGATCATGGGACTTAGTAAGTAAGGTTATAAGTCCCTTAATTGGGGTTATAAGCATAGCTACCCTCATTATAACCCTAGTTGCTAAGTCCCATGTTTTTGTAAGTAAAAGGGCCCTTTTGGAGTTTCCAAACAGCCCAGGAGCCCTATGCGTCTCGGCTACAGGTCTTTGGGTCTTTACCCTAAGGCCCCAAAGTAGTTCCTTTTTGGGGTTCGTATGTAGAATCCTATAAGGTAACCCCAAAAAAGGAACTACTATGGGGCCTCTGGGTAGGGTTATGTGCAGTAAACTCCTAAAAGTTGGAAACCGGATGAAGGACATTGTGTGTTCGTTCTTAAGGACTGAGGCTATTGGGTTTCCAACTTTTAGGCTTGTATTATAAGGGTTCAGGGTTACGGGCTATGGATGGTTAACGTTAGGGGTTAGGGATGAGGTTTAGGATTCGGGGTTCAGGATTTCGCGTTAAATGAAGGATTGAGGGTTTCGGGTTCAGGGTTCTCTGATTTCGGAGGTGTCCGGAGACGTCCAGAACTTAGGATGCAGGGTTTAGGGCTTCTTAAGACTTCTCGGGCTTAGCATTTGGGTTTTAGGTATTTTTGAAAGCTTCGGTCTGAGGGTTTGGGGTTTAGAACTCAGGGTTTTGGTGTTTCCAAAGACCTCAAACGGGGGCTTCCTGTTCTCAGTGTTTTGCGGGTTTTGAAGTATTGTTGAAAGCACTTCGTAGTACCGTTATCATTCATGGCTCTGGAGGAGTTTCCTTACTTCAGGGGTACCGCATGTGCGGGTCCTTCTGCTGTATTTAGGACTGTTGGAAACAGTACTTAAGGTTCAGGGCTTGAGGCTGTCCGGGTTGCAGGGCTGAAGCTTTTGTGTGCAGGGCTTTCAGGGTTTGCTTTGGGGCTTCGGGGTTTGAGGGTTTCGGGTTTCAGGGTTTACGGCCAAGGGCTGAATGGCTTTGGCTCTGGATTACGAACGGGGCGCCTGGACAAGAAGCACTGGGGATTAAATCTTGAGTCTGTATGTTTGATTGTACTTCGGCTCTGCGGGAAAGGCTACGGGGCTGCTTAAACCTGAAACGGTCCGGGGTTTAGGCAGGGTTCAGGATTTAGGGGCTAGGATTTCAAACGCAAGCCCGGCATTCAACGACCGGCCCAAAGCCGAGGACTTCAACAACTGCGTGGTAAACTTCTTGGAGCGGGACTGGTCGGATTGCTAGCTTTGGCTGAGCTGCATGCTGTTCCTGAATGTTTTGCATCTCGGTTTCGCTGTAGTCCTGAGATGGCAGAGATGCGTGACGTGATTTGGAACTCCAGGCTCGTTCTTATCTTTTTGGGAAGGTCACGGACATCCTATGGCCTAGGGGCTCAAAGTGTAGGTCTTTCAAGAACATCTGAACGAATCGAGCCATTCTCGCAGCGAGAGCGGCAACAGCGCTCGGTAGCAGGCTGACTCCGTTTTAGAGTATCGCAGCCTATAAGGCAAGGGTTAAGGTGTTTTAGAGATTAAGGTTCAGGCAGGACTCTCGAATTTTGGGAAAAGCCTGAGGGCACCATTGGCGACGAGAGCGCTCGTTTGGGCTTAGAGTCTACCAGGTGGGGTTAAGTGGCGTAAGGCATATGGTTACACTCGACTCGACACTGGAAGCCTTGAAGCTTAAAGCTTGAGGGTTGCAGGTCCATGTGGGAGTTTCCGAAATTAGGGGATCCCAATATAGTACCCTAATTAGTAGGATCCTTATGATAAGGATCCCCAAAATAAGGTACCACCATTTTCGGAAACTCCCGTGTGCTTACCGGGCCTCTGTACAGTCAGCGTCCGCTCGGCACGAAAAGAGGGGCTGAAGCAGGAACGCTAGGTAGTATGATTAGGGAGACCCCTTAAAGGGTACCCCTGCTGAACCCTACTTCTGGCTCTCTTCAAAGGGACCTTATTGAGAGGGTCTATATCCCCAAGAGTCCCCCGAATCCTAACTCCCGCACGTGGGCCGTAAAACCCTTAGCCTTCCCGGACCCCCCAACTACCCTTTATCGTGTTGCCTGGTAAAGGACACTTGCGGGGGGGGGAGGTCCTGGCCCCAAGCATGTTTCCCAGTGGCACGTACTATACTAGCAGTACCGAAACCCAAAACCGGTTACGACAACCCCTAATCCGTCATAGGGATTAAGGTCTCTTCTTATAGTAGGGAATTGCAAGCCCTCGAACCCTAAACCCTACACCCTAAACCCTTTTGTTGAAGGAAGAAGGAGTTCTAAAACACAAAAACCTAAACCCTCTGCACCTACGAGCTGTCATGCCGGGCCCTTGCTTGTCCGATGTGTGATTACGTAGGAACCTTAAAGCTTGCCTAAGAATCGCTGCTGCCGCCACCCCCAAAGAAGGTAGATCGCGAGCCTGAAGAACTATCCGTAGCTAAACCTTACCCAAGCTTGAAACACCCAAGCTTGAAACCATCTATATCACAACTCTACAGCATTTGGCTTCGATAAAGATTGAAAGCAGGCGACAGTGAGAGCGAGTTTATAGGTCCTCATTGGTAGCATTGAGGCTTGTCGTCTCTCATCGGCTATATTACCGGGCTTTACACATCTTTAGAAAGAGAAGTAATTGTCCCGTCCAGCTAGCTGGAGTGGCAGATAGTCGGCCACAGGTGTAGATGCAAGTCCTATTCATTTCTATGAAGGGAGGTCGGTGGAATGGCTGGTGCAGCGTTCCACGGGTGTTTTGGACTGGGATCCAAGGACAAGCCTCCGAAACCTGTCCCTAAGGTTGCATGTACCCAAACAGTGTATGCACTGGCCTTAGAGTAGTCCCTATTTGGTGCTTTGAGGCCAAGGTATATACTATTGCCCATGGACCCTTAGGGTTTTGGTTTAATCAGGCTCTCATCTTCAGGCCTGTCAGTAGAAAGGCGGTGCCACTTGAAACGTTCTCAGAAGCTTCTTGGCCTGCGCAAGTATACTGGTGCTGAACATGCAGATGTGATGCAAGGCTGTTGTTAACTGCGACTGCAAGTTACGTCCAAGAGTCGACAGTCGGATTGATGGAAACACTTCCTTCGAGTACGCAGCTTGACATGGTTTACAGGTGCCCGCAGCATCTGTGCAGTCCGTCGTGTATCGTACGAATCGAGCACCGCTAAGAGCTGAACCGGCTTCTTTAAACAGGATGCAGTGTTTAGCATGTAGGGTTTCAGGACGGTGCGGACTCTGTATGAGGATGTGGTGTAAGGCATGCAGTCTCTAAGCTCCGAGCCGGCCCTACAAGCGAACAGGCTCAAAGAGACGAGAAGAGCAATAACAGGGGCATGCATACGGTTTACCAGCATCATCACCCGTACTGTATCATCAAGATCGTCGTCATCATCACCACCAGCATCATCTACAGCATATCAAGCATGACCAGCCGCAGCATCCTTATGTCCATCAGCTTCACCAGTATAACAGGCCTGCGGCAGCAAGCAGCCTTTTGCAACATGCGTCCCAGGGCTGGCTTGCTCGCGATTGCAGTCGCGCAACCCTAAACCCTTTTACCCGACCGGAAAAAAAGCATGGCGAGCGATCTCCTGCTGCGTGCTGCGCAACGGGGCGACATTGAAGAGGCGGCACTGCTACTGGTGACCTGGCTAATTACGGCTAGGGGTGGGGGGGGGCCGGGATTTACTGGGGAAATTCGGGGTCGTGCCATTAACATCCATTAACACGATGCTGTCATCTTCAATGAATCGTAGGAGGCCAAAAGGGGCTTTAGCCTAGGGGGGTTCGTAGGGATTACATATGTTAAGGAATCCCTACCCCAAAAATATTGAACCTCCCTTTTTTGGCCTCCCATCAATGAAAGAAAGTCAGTGACATCACTCTTAGATTGTTGGTTGAGGCCTGGCTCCGTCACAGCACCATAAACAACAGCGAAGCATCACGGATGTCAATATAAGCGGTATTTATGCACGACCCCGCACCAGAATGTGGTAAACTTGTGAGCGTTGCAGCACTGTTCGGTGTGACGTGCCATCACCTGATTTAAGTCGAAGCCCCCCCTGCACCCCCGAACTCGGAATCCTGAGCCTGGCAAGCCACATTTAGGGGTAGGGTTTATATAGTTTAGGGGTAGGGTTTGGGGCTTTGTGTTTAGGGCTTTAGGGTTTAGGGATAGGGTTTGGGGTTTAGCGTCCCAAATCTCGTAGAGCCAGACATGGTGCTTGGAGATGTAGGTTCTGGAGCTACGGCTTGGATTCGGGATTGATCGTAGGTGCCCCATTTCAGATCTAGGCCCCTGGTGTACAGTAGAGCCCGCTTTCCGAGGAGAGCGGCCACGCACAACCGAATGTCGTGATGCCACCTTGTGACACCACTCCTTTACATGCTGCATCCCGGGCTGGCAATCTGATTCTTGGCTTGTTTAAGAAGTTTAGGGGGCAGAATTTCATCCCAATACGATTCCCACACTGAGGCCTTGACCCTGAACCGTTCCAAAGCCTGACGATGCTGGAGGGCCGGAAGATTCCCAAAACTCTCAGCCGGACCGAATTTATTCAGAGTGGAGCGCGCGGGCAACTCCTCCAAAGCTCACAGGATGCAAAGCCGGATAGACTGCCACATGGGAGTTTCCGAAAATAGGGGACCCTAATGTAGTACCCTAAATAGTAGGATCCTTACTATACGGACCTCAGAATCAGGTACCCCTAATTTTCGGAAACCCCCACATCTCAAGAAATGCCGGCAGCCAAGGAACATGGTCAACCTTCTGTTGCCTGGACAGTTGGATGAGCTCTAGGCTTCGGGGCTTCGCGAAGGTCTAGAGTCTATAGACTACAACACCAGCCAACACCTTCGTCAATCCTCGCAATGCCGCGACCATCCTAAGCATGATGCTTATGATGGGTCGTTTGCACTAGCATCAGCAATATCGTAATCCACAGCATCATCATCATCATCATCATCATCTTATTCTGCTTCATCATGTTCATCTCTGAGTCATCGTTATTATCCGTGTCATCAAGCTCGCTGTCCTCCTCCTCCTCCTCCTCCTCCTCCTCCTTTTCCTCCTCCTCCTCCTCCTCCTCCTCTTTCTCCTCTTTCTCCTCCTCCTCCTCCTCCTCTTTCTCGTTCTCCTGGAATCTCTGATTAAGGCAGATCATGATGACAGGCTATGATTAACTACTCAGTTTCTCACGCACAGAATAATCAATCACGCCAGTGCTATCAAAAAATGTGATAGCAATCGTCGTAGCATAGCAATTGCAATACCCGGTGATGGGTTGCGTGGGTTGAGGTTTGAAACCCGAAAAAGGCATTCCAGCCATGAACCTTAAACCCCAAACCCGGAACCGTTGACCCCACCTTAACCCTGAATAGCCTACCTTTCTTTCTAGGGTTCCTTACTATGATTTCCTTATGCGAGTCCGTAAAAAGGTAGGTCATTCCTAATCCCTAAACCCAATCTCCAAAACCCGAAGCCCTTAAACCCTAAACCCCTGAACCCCTAAACCCTAGGCCCTAGACCACTACACCCTAAACCCCTTTTCGTCCTCTTCAAGCGACGCCGAGGCTCGAAGCCCAGGCAAATCCCAACGCCCAGGAGGTGTCTCAATGTGGGGGCAGGGCAGCGCTGCACCGCAGTCTGCATTTCGTATATTTTGGAGGTTTAGAGGGACTAGGGTGTGTAGGGCATAGTCGGCATAGTGTAGGGCTTAAATAAGCGGTTTTTCGCGGATGTTGCCGAAGCTCAGGCACCTGGCGGCTCAAGCCAACCTCACCGAGATCGCAAATAATCTTCTAGCCAAGGGCGCGTGTCCTGACTTCCTATATCAGAGGCAAAGGATTCGCCAAGGCTACAGTACGACGTGTACAAAACTGGCGTAACCGTTCACTCTCTCTCTCTCGCATGCGGACAGTCCGGCGCGGTCCATGCAGGCCAAAAGTAGCAAGCTACAGCCAATTCAAACTTGAAACACAAAAACTTGAAACACTAGCGAGGAAGACGCGGAACGTTCATCAGAAACGTACCGCGTCCCTCAGGACGACGCAGAAAGCTGGTGCGGCGCTGCAAGCGCCAACCTGACGGAAGGAGAGTGCAGAGCAAAATCCAGCCTCGACACAGAAGAACCAAGGGGGGCGAAAATCCACACCGGTCGCTGCTGAGAGGCCAGGAGCAGCCAAGCGGCATTCGGGCAAAGGTGCAGAAGCACAGCACGAAGCTGCAGCCCAGGTGGCTGCTCAGAACACAAGCAGTGGCCCAGGCCGACAAACTTGCCCAGATGAAGGAGGGACAAGGTGTGACGGAGCAGAAGCTCGGAGCCGGAGGCAAAAGGGCTGCCCGTAGACGGGCAGAATGCCGGGACATCGGCGCCGTTGTCGAGCAGCCGAGTTGCAGTGCGGAATTGAGAGAGCAGACGTGGCCCAGCCCACTCAGAGGTGGCGAGAATATGCCAGAAGGCCGCCAGTTGATTCCACACTGGCGGAAACCGCCAGCAAGCAGGTCGCCGACACAAACCTGGCCACCATGGCGAGGGCAGGCTCGAATCCACAGCCAAAGTGAAGGCCAGAAGGACAGGGGCAGGGGTGGTCGAGGGAGCGGCGACTGGAGCAGGCATTGTCGGTTGAGGGCAGACTTGGTCACTCGGTGGGCCGGCGGGCCCCTCACCGAGCGACTGGCTGAGTAACTTGTCCCACTCCTGTTGCAGGGCATCTGGTGCCCATGGTTGGCCGTTTGTGGCTGCCTCGCGCTCTGCAGGCGTAGCGTTGATGGGGCCACTGATACGCAAGGGCGGCAGCCGTCGATGCTGTTGTGGGCCCCGACGCTTGGACCCAGAGCCGTAGGTGTGATGCGGTCCAACAGAGATCTCCAAGGACAAGCGGCAGGCAGGGGTAGTGGAGATGTGGTACTTGAGGCGGTCCGACGAATGGAAGTCTCGCAAGCACCAACTGCAAGTCGTGCCATCACAAAGGGCCGTGGCCCGGGCCAGGATCCCTTGCTTGCGGTGGCGATGGGCCGCAAGCGCCTGTTGTGACCGTCCGGTCCAACCGCATTCAGGGCAGGAGACAGGCTGTGGGGTACCGATGGTGCCGGTAGAAGTGTGGGTGGCCCTGGTCCGCCAGACCCTCTGAAAGGCCATCAGGCAAGAGCCGTAACGGCCCATGCGTTTGCAGGCTCCCCGAAGGAGCCGGCAGTGAGCACGCGCAACACGCATGGGACTGTCCTGGAGCTGGGCTTCAGTAAGACCCGACAACCGACCCACTTGGGTGAGAGAGTCTCGCAGGAGGTTAGTCCATGGGAGATCCCGTTCACAACAGGCTTCGACCAAGTCAAGGACTGCAGGGGGTGCTGAGGTGGCAATCTGCACAGTTAGGCGTGCTCTGGCAACTACCACAGCAACAGCAGGTGTCGTCGCTTGGACCAAAATGTCCAAGGCTTCGCGGGTAAGATGATGAGAGACCTGCCACGAGGAGACCAGGGCCCGTTGGCAGCGGTCGAAAAAGCCCTGATAGATCGACCAAACCCGCCCTGAGGTCACGAGGGCAGTCGAAAGGCTGGAGTAGGCAGCGGGCAGCACCCGGCCAGTGAACCACGCAAGTTTAACGGCAAAAGGCAAGGTCGGGGAACGCATAAGTCCATGGGCCTGGGCCCAAGCAGCTTGCCCCCGTTGAACGGAGGCTTCAGCATCTCTCCTGCCATTGTCCGGCGCTGTCTGCGGCACCCCCAAGTATTTATACTCAGCCACAATGCGCAGGGTCCGCCCCGGTGCAAACGTCACCTGCGACTGAGGCAAGAAGAGCCTGCCTCGCGCTTCGCGTGCCCCTGGACCTCGCAGGAGCAGCAGCCCTTCCGACTTGCCGGCACCCAAGTTGACACGAAGACGATACGATTCAGCAGTGTCAACAATGGTGCGTGTGACAACAGGAACAATGGCTTCGAGCTCCTCAGCCGAGTCGGCATCAGTAAGCACCGAGAGGTCGTCTGCCCAAGCGACCTGGAATGGGCGGCAAATACCCCCAACAGCTTCGACCGCCGAGTGGTGCCCGATGCCTTGTGCAGCAAGCTGCTGTTCAACATCGTCGAGGATTTGAGCGAATATCGCTCCGAAAAGGACATCTGCCAGTCCGTCGCCTGGCCTGCTGCCGCGTCCAGCCAGGATGATGGCATCGTGCCCCGCGAGAGTCCAGTGCGAGCACCGTACGCAATCTTCGAGCAGACACACCGCTTCCTTCGCCATGCCCCGCCTGCGTAGGACCCCATCTCGAAGGAGACCTGATGCGAGGGAGGTCGCGCGGAGTTGTCGGTCATCCGCAGCGTGACAGCCGAAGAGGAGGTCCCGATCAGCTTCATAATACGCCGCTTGGACATCCAAGAACAGAGCGAACCAAGAGCGGTTAGCGTAGTCGCTGAGGGCCGTCAGAGACCTGAACACAGACACCGCGAAGCCTGTGTGTACTCCTCGACGCCCTCCCAGCTGGAGAGGGTGATAGGCAGCAAGTACTTCCTGACCTAAGGAATCCCGGACCTGTCCATGCCAGACCTTGGCAATGCCGTTGAGAAGCGCGATAGATCGGTAGTTGGCCGGGACGCTGGCAGGTCCCTTTTTGTGCAAGGCACACACAATAGCAGCTTTAAAATGGAGCGGCTCCCGGCCCTGACCGGCAATGTCCGCGCAGAGGCTTCAAAGCCACTGGGCTGCCTCAACAGGCTGCGTGCGCCAAAGCCCGTTTCGCAGCCCGTCCGGTCCGGGTGCTTTGTGGAGCTTTTGGCGTCGGCATTGATGTTCAACCTGAAGGAGGGAAGGCAGAGCTGCAGGGCATGGCGCACGCGGGCGGGACTCGGAGGCCCTGAAGGCGGCGAGTAGCCCTTGTTTCGTGACTCGACTGCCGGCCTCCTGGCGCTGAAATTGGAGTAGCAGGTCTGCATCAATATCGTGGCCTCCCGCCGCAAAAACCTTACGCCGCTCTGCGGCCTTCCTAGAGGCCCATTTGAGCCGATGGGTGGCTTCCATCGCACGGCCTGTGTCGAGCCAAAACTCGGTCGCCGTGGCAGTAAGTTTGCGGAAGTGCTCTGCCTTGTCCCTTCTCGCCAAGAAGTGAGCATGCTCGCGCGCCCGAAGGACTCGGAGCCACGTCCTGGCATAGGCTCGATGTCCGATCCGGATGCCGACGCGGATGTGCTCAATAGGGGCAGAGCGGGCCGCCCAAGCCTTGAAGGCCAAATGGAGCTGATTGAGGGTGCAGGTCCGAGCCTGTTGACGAAGGATCTTGCGATCGGCTTTCAGCTCTGTGAGGACCTGAACCGCTTCGTCAGAGATGTACGGCTGCCGCGGGATGATGCCACTGGCTTGCCGATGCCGGCTGGCCAGGCGGTGATAGCGGGATGCGAGGGCTAGGGTGGCCCTATGTGGACCGCCCGGGTACTTGAAGCCTGCCCAAACCTCTGGGGCAATGTGCGTGGCGGTCGCCTCAGGTGGTGCTAGGGAAACCGGGGTCTTAGTAAACTGTTGACAACCCCTTACGCGCGCAGTACAGGCAACTGGGACGTGGTCCAGAGTGCTGTTGACGATGTCAAACTCAGGGAGGCGCTTGGACTCGTCCACTGTGATGTGGCCAGCGGCAACCAGAATGTGATCATGCCTGCGCTGTTTCCCAGAGGAATGCTGCCACGTCCAGGTGGGTCCCTGGTGAATGGAACTCCATGTAGCAGGCGCCTCCAAGTGGTGGTCTTGCACAAATGACAGCAGCTCTACATCACCCTCTCTAGGTGGCCTGCTGTCAGTAAGATCCCCTATGAGCCGATGCTCTGCGTCTGGCGCAGTGAAGTCCGCATTGGCATCAATGCCCACGATCAGAGTGGTATGAGGTGGCAGCGGATGCAGTGCGTGCCGAATCGCTGCCCAAAATTGATGGATTTCCTGTTCGGGCCGCTCCGCATGTGGTGCGTGTGCTGAGAGAATGGCCAGCGGAACATCTGGTCTAAGACAGCGAACCAGCAGCCAGCGCGGTGAGGCTGACAAAATCCTCCAGTCTTGCAGCTGAAGGTGGTGTCCTTGCCACATGCGGCGAAACCAGACCTCCACTCCATACTGTCCCTTTTCATGGCCGCTCCGCCATGTGAGAAAGGGCCCGGATGAGTACCGTCCCGGGTTGCTACGGCATTCTTGCAGGCAGAGGACATCAAGTCCCAGCGAATCAGCTTGACGAACCAGAAAAGCTCTGCGCTGTCCCCCTGCGGCAGCGGAGAAGAAGTGCCTCTTGTCATCTTTAATGGTTTGAACGTTGGCAGAGACAAGGACGATCGGCAGGGACGTAACCGACTGGGGATCATGCTCCGGCGGAGCAGCAACAGGAGCCTCCTTGGCCTCCTTCGGTTCTGTGGGCAGTGGTTCGTCTCCTGCGCTAAGCTGTAGCCACGGCGTGCCTGCCAGCATCGTGCATCTATGGAGGGCCCATAGCCAGGGGCCGTGCTCGTCCATGGCAAGGGAGAGCGATGCCGCCGTGAGTCGGGGGAGGTGGTTCCATTCCAGCCCTTGTGATGCCAGTCCGGCAAGTGTGTCGACAACCTCGTTGACGAAGACTCCTGTGTGCCCTGGAGTGTGGCAGAACCTGGTGCTATGCTTAGCCTGAACTAATTGCCAAAGGCACCTCAACGATTTTGCCGCCGCAGTCTGGGCAGTGGCCTGTCCCGCCGCGATGCCCAAGGCCGCAGTGTTGTCCACCGCTATGGTCACAGAGGCAGGGCGCGAGCTGCACCACATCTCGTGCAGACTGCAGTAGGTGCTGATCCATGCTGCGGCTGCATACAGCGCAGCCATTTCTGCATGAAAGGAGGCAAAGGAAGGGTGTCTTTGGTCCGGCGGAATTGGGTACCATTTAGCCTCAAGGAGAGGACCGGCCGCGCAGCCCAACCGGTACCAGGTAGTTTTCCGGCGCGCCCAGACTGCGAAGGCCCACCCGCCATCCCCTTGTCCCGAGCCGTCCGTGGAGACAAGAAGAGCGTCGGGAACCCCCCTGGCCAACTAGGGAAGGCTTGCCACATCTTGGCGGCGTGACCATTGCCTGGCATGAGCGTGTGCAGCGGTGCGCCCCAGGCGTTGAGAATACCGACCTGCAGGGCGGCAACATCGGTCATATCCCGGTAAACAGCTCCCGTATCCTCTCGGCGGAGGCGGGTGGAAGGCGCCGGGGCCCCCCAGGCAGCAAGATAACAATTGAGAGGCGATGGGCAAGGAACCCGCGTCCGGTGATATGGGTACAAATGGCCAGCCCCAAGACCAGCGCTGAACAGGGAGGCGGCGGAAGGGCGGGCGTTGCCGGTCGGTAGGTCCTGTCCAAGCAGGCCTGCACCGCACAGGACATAACTGAAGGAGATACACAGGACCGGAATCCACAGGGAGCGCGACAGCCGCAGTGTTCCACTTGCAGCTACAAGTACGAAGATAATTGGAGACAGCAGTGGCCGAGGACCTGCCCTGCCCGTAGCGCCATCTGCAAGCCAATCACCGTCCCGGAGATCAGGGTCAGGGACGGGTGGGCCATTACTGTTCATTCCCGAGGAAACCACATAGGCACCGGCCTCCAACTGAGCAGCGGCCTGCGCGGGGTTAACATGGGTGCAGCTCAGAGTATGGCCTGAGAACAGGATGGTGCGGGAGAACCGTCGAGGGGCCCTGCGCAGTAGCCACGGTCGTCGGCTGGGCCGGACCGGCGCGGGAACCCAGCGGCCATTCAATGCCCCACTGCCTGGACTTCGGATTGTGAGACCACGTGGATCCCATTCGCTGGAGGCCGGAATGGTGACGACGGTGGGCGCCTGGTCCGGGGTCCACAGAACGACCTCGCCTGCTTCTGCCACTTTGAAAGGGGCGTGCCAGATCGCAGCGACACCGGCCTCAACCCACGTGGAAAACCACGGGCAGCAAAGGTCCAACCGTAAGGGGTGAGAGGAAGCCAATCCTATCGTCAACCGATCCCCGTTACGTAGGTAGAGCTTAAAATCAGCGTTGCCGGAGATAAGGCATGGGAGCGGTGCCCCAATTTTGACCGGTACACCAACGCGGATAGTCATTGTGGTCTTCAGGGCATCATACGTGATAACTGCCGGCAGCATCATGGCGAAGATTTGCCCCAGTCCTTCCACCAGGACAGTGACGAACTCTTCAGGAGCTCTGGTAACTAACTGGAGCGTCCCTTGTCTGACGGGGGGGTTACAGACATTGGCTCCAGTGGACCCTATGGGCGAGTGAACGGTGGCGAGAGTCTCCACCTGTTGCCAAAACGAGGCCAGGCTGACAGCTGTAGGTGCGCTGACCCCCGCAAAAGGGCACCAAAGCTGGACAACTGACACGCTAGGGTCATCTCCCGTGAGCAGGGCATCGAGTGGGACAGCATCGAACTGTCCCGGTGGTGACGTCATTGTAGATGCAAGGAAGCCCGGAGGGGGAGAACGAGAGCGAGGCCGAGTGGCAGACTCAGAGTCAACTTGCCCCTCTGGGTCCATCGCTCCCGCGCCGCCCAAGGTAACCAGCAGGCAAAGTCCTTGTGGGAAACCTCGGGGGATGAGACTGCAAAGGGCAACCCCAAGAGGTGGTACGAGTTTGCAGACCGAGCTGGAGTCAGCTCCGCTCATGGCATTTGTCAAGGCCGCAGTCTCAGGGTCCGACGAGGTGGGGGTGGCTGGTGCACTAATGATGATGTCACCGTCGCGGAGAGCGATGGGCCGGTCGGCATGGATATGAAGGCCCAACACCTGGACAGTGGAAGGGCTGCTGACAAAACTGTGGCCAAGCACTCGAGAGAGCTCGGGTTATCCACACTGAGACAACAGCAACGGCCATCACGTTCATGGAGAACAGTGGCTTCTCGCCCATGGCTCGCAGTGCACACCATATTGGGGATTTCGTCGCTGACCCAGGGGACAGGGACCCAGGAGCCAGCAACATGAGCCCGAGAAAACGAAGCAAAGGACAAGAAGTCCGGATCCCACGTATCACCTTGAGGTAGTTCGAGCTGCTGCGGCATGGATTGCCCCGGTCTCCAGAGCCGCAGTCGGATCGGAGTGAGGATCTGAAAAGGCAAGTTCCAGGCAACCGCGTGGCGCACAAAAGACTCATCGTCTGTGGCGGTTGTGCCAGGCCGTGCTGTCTCAGGGATGGCAAGGACATAGTCACCGGACCGGAGCTGAATGTAGGACGTAGCCGCAGTAGCCTGCCGTCTAAGCTGCGGCGGGAGCGTAAGTGTAAGGGCATGTCTCCCGAAGGCATGGCGCAGCGTCCGCAGCAGCCATTCCACAGTGACTACCCGTGGTAGCAGAAGGGCCACAGTGGCATGCCAAACCCGTGCCACGATGCACACGGTAGTTGGGTCCGGCGGAGTGGGGACAACAGCCAGTTCACAAGCAACCGGGGAGGGCCAGACCGGCGCATACCCATCCGCCCACAGGATCCTGTCACGATCCGCCCGTCCAAAGGAGTGTGTGCAGGAGGCCTCAGCCTCAACCACCGTGACATGACCTGCACCCCAGAAAGGGCTTAGGCATACTACCCTTACCTGCCTGCCTTCAACCACCATCAACAGGTTCGCAGTGTCAAAATCAGTCTTCCATGGGAACCGCCCCACCCGGACAAGGTCGGTATGAAGTCCTTGTCCGACGTAGTCTGGCAACGGTACAAAAACGGGCCCAGTAGCTCTAGGTTCGAACATAGCAGCAGCCCCAGCTATGAAGGCGAGCCATCTCAGCCGACTTGGCAAAGCCAGGCCCGCCAGAGCACGGAGCACAGGTGAGGGATGCAGTGACCTAGCATCCGATGTCGGGACCTGAACAGGTTGCGGTCTCGGCGGGCCTGCGAACGAAAACCGCATGCAGGCTCCATCATGAAGTGTGACCGCATCATGACAAGGCTCGTCCGTGAGTGACTGGTGTAGCCGGATCCTTGAGCCTTCAAGTGTCAAGTGTTGCGTGTCTTCCTGGGTGAGATGCGTAGGAAGTGACACAGGACACAGTCGATCGCCATCCCCCTTCAACAGAACGTTCGAACGTAAAGGGTCTACAGCAGCCGGGAGAAAGTGGAGTGCGCATGTGTCTGGCTGTGGTTGGGCAGGGCGCAGGCGCGTCCACCCATGCAGGCGGGCGTAATCTTGGAGAAGGCGCCATGGTGGAAAGCAGCCATTACCCACCGGTGGCAGCTGGAGCGGGGCAGGTGAACCGGGGGAGAAGGGGCTATGAATCCGAATCGGCACCCGAAGGTGGTCAAGATCAATTGCCGTAGCAACTTCAACCCCGGGACACCCATGTAGAAGGGCATGTTGCAACTGCAGGATGTCGCGACTCGAAGCAGAACGGACCACGCCATCAGCGCCTGTAGGGCCCGGAACCGTCGTGCGGGCTCTGTCATCATCGGCCACGGCCGCAGCGGCAGGGGACCCAGGGAAATGCTCCAACCGGTGTGCATGACGCAGGTGTCCGGTGGAGCCGAGAGGACGGCCCTGAGCGTCGTCTCGCAAGGAGCACAACTGAGCAGGCGCAGGGTCAGCTGATCTGGAGCGGCTGCGTTCTGGGGCAGCCCCATCTGGGGCAGCAACCACAATGACTGCGCAAAGGCTAAGCAGGACGCCTGGTCGTGGAAGGCCGCGAAACAAGAGTGCAGCCAACCCTAAACCACGCCACAAAAGACTGTGGCAACCTTGTGTTGCGCCAGAATGGTCTTGCTTCCCTGGAAGCACTGGCGCGGGAGCCTGCGCTGCCTGATGTCCCTGGAAAGCTCCTGTCCCCGCTTGTGGAAGACCTTCCGCCGGGGGCACATGCGCTTGTGCAGCCAGGGCAGCTAATTGACACTGCATATCTTGAATGGCCCACCAGATGTCATCCAGGGTCGCTGTTCCTGGATCGGTCTGGCAGCTCGCATGACTTTGGGTCACCAGGCCTGGGCATGTGCGACTGGGGCCAGGCGGAAGGCTGGCCCCCGTAGGGCATGGCAGCGCCTGTGGCGCGACAGCAGCTGCAGGTTGGTGGCCCGCTGCAAGCAGTGGTGAGCGGGCAGCCGCACCACCGGGTTGAACAACCCACCTCCACGCTCTAGCAGTATCATTGCCGGGGCTCACCGTGGGCTGCGTCAGTAGCGCGACAAGAGGCGCTTCTCGAAGGGGGCCCGCTTGCAGCAGATGTGGGTGCGGCAGAAGGGCTGAGTCTTGCGACCACGGGTCAGGAGGGGGAAGGTAAGAAGTGTACTGTTGGCGGGCCTCAGCAAGCACAAGGTGTTCCCCATTGCGAACTTGCACAGCCTGACCAAAAGTGTAGCCACAGTTACCAATGCGGAAGGATAGGGCTTGCGGATGTGCATGGTCCTCCCGGAACGTGTCACGGAACCAACGAGCAAAGACGCCCCAATCAAACAAGGATGACTCGAAGGAGAAGACTGCCGCCCTACCTTCAAGCTGCACCAAACAGACTGAGATCCCAGCGGAGGTGAAGTGGGCCGGAGCATAGATTGCTTCATAGACAGTTTGTCCAGGCGGGCTCCGTACAGCCACTAAAGTCCCCTTAGCAACCCCGTACCCACAAAGCTGGACAATATTGTGGATCTCTTCCTCTGAAGGCCATGGTGGTCCCGCTAAGTACATGGGAGAAGAGTGGTCAACAACCCAGATGCGGATGGCCGTATATACCCTGGCCGGGGCAAGCTGAGCCTGTTGCATGGCAAGGGTACCTAGTGGCCCACCAGAGGTGCGGCCCCAGGATGCCCAGAAGGGCATGGTCCAACCAACGCCCGGGGCCGAGACATGAGCTTGTGCCAAGGTGACGGTAGCCGTCAGGAGGAGTGCCCAGACAGGCCAACCGCGCGGCCCAGCCAGCCCTGCTGTAAGGACTAGTCCGGCAGGCCCAAGCACACCTGTGAAGCCGTCCACAGGGTTGACAACAGTGGCACGGCAGCCCTGCGGGAGGGAGTGGCAGACGGCAATACGGCTGTGATGGGCCAAAGCATTGACCTCTCCGGCAGAATTCACAGTGGCTGCAATAAGGCATCCCGCGCATGGGAGCCTAGCAACTGGCCGCAAAAGTTCTCGACTGAGCAGGTCCCGGACAATCCACCAGTAGCCTTGACCCCTGGGGACAGCAATCAACTCGAGAGTGAAGGGATCCGTGTCGCAAGCGACATACAAGTCATGTTGCTCGGGGCGAAACCCCCTGCGGCAAGACCGGTAACGAGAGAGGCTGGGTGCAGTGTGTTCCAACTGACAAGAGAAGGGCCTCGCAAAGGTGTCCAAAGACGGATGTCATGTGCTTCTTGAGTGAGGGAACACAGCCATCCATACAGCCGGTCGGCCTCCACCGGGAAATTTCCTGCGGCAATCGAGGCTTGCATAGCCCAGCCTTGTGGCGGATCGTAGCAGTGGTCGTGCTGGTCCTCAAGGGCAACCGTGGAGACGGGGAAGGACGCATTGCCATCACTGGTGCTATCGTTAGCCGATCCCTCGGATGAGGTGGCTGCACGATGTCCCGGCCTGGCTTCCGCTGACAAGGCCCACAGGACAGGGAGCCACCACGAGAACTTGCCGGCAGAGAGGGCACTGACCAGGCCGAAGGCGGTCCCGGTCAACACCGGGGCAGGCGGGGGAGACGGATTAGCAAAACATGGAGCGCACGATTGATGCAGGTGCAAGCACTTCCCCGACGCGTCCTCCAAATTCTGCGGGTACCTCCACCAAAGCTGCCCGGAGGCAACCGTAAGATCAGCAATGTCCCAAGATGAAGCTCCCCCGACAGACGCAATTGCTTCCCAGGACAAATGAGCAGTGCAAGCACTAAGCCAAATGCCCTCAACGTTCAATGCCCAGATTTGCATGTGTGGGCCGCACCTAATGACGCAGGTCACGTCCTGTTCGTCACAGTGGAGGACCTGGAGGTCGCCTTCGGTTGTTTGTAGGTGCGAGGGACGGCACTGGGGCCGAACTGGGGTAGCAGATCTGCGCATCCCTCTGGCTGAGCCTGAACCTGACCTGGTAGTGGTAGCTGGGCCATGTCGCCCTCTAGCTGGGGTACGGCCCGACTTGGCCCGTGAGCCAATGAGGGTGGCCCGCTGCCGGAAGACAGAAAAGCAACCTCCTGGGAGTGCCTGCAGATCAAAAGCCATCTGCACATACAATGTGCGGGTGTTACTGGCATCGGCAAACACCCCATGGACAGTGCGAACCGTGCGGAGGTCTGCATTAGACACTATGCTGCAGACTGCTCTGGCAGTGGAGGAAGATCTTGCACAAGCCTCGAAAACATCCACAGCAGACGAGAAGGTGCCCTCTACCGCAAAGGCCAGACCAGTGTCACCGGAGCCAAAGTGGTCGTGTAGCCAGAGGACAGCATTGGTGTGCCCGATGCGCACTGACTGAAAGCAGGGAAATCCAAGCAATCCAGAGAGCTCAGGAACTTCCCGCACAACAGGCCTGGCCCCGAGACATTCGCGTACCCATTCCTCGGCGGCGCAGAAGGCCGATCGGGAGAGGTCAGCATCATGCAGGATGGAAACCCCATTTCGTTTTCCGAGCACGACCAACTGCCTGTAAGCCGGTGATGCAAGCCAGCGGGATGGGCTCAGGCTCTCCGCGTAAAGCAGAAATCGACTAACATCGGCCCCGTTGAAGTCAAAATCAGCCTCAACCCTAACTACATCCCCATGCCGGAGAGGCGTTGGCATAGGCAGCAGACGGATACAGTCTGACTTCAGGCGGTCGGAGCAGAGCCGCAGGAGAGAGTCTCGCGGAGGGTCTCTCTCGACATCGAGGCAGGCGCAGTTGGTACCTGTGGTAAAAAGGACCGTGCGAATCCCGGGTTCTGTGGTCACAGCCACAAAATGAATGGCCAGTGCACTGGGTGCAAAGGAGGCAGCCACCACATTGCCCCTGCCCCATCTTCTGGCAGTCTCAGTGAGCCGTGACATGAGGAGATTCCGAGAGGCCGAGCCTGGGAACTTGAACTCCTCGAAATCGTCCGGCGCCCACAAGCAGACGCGGAGCTCAACCGAATGGAACAGCGAGCCGAACCCTGTGACAATCGGCATGAAGTCGCCCTCAAAGCCTGACAGAATGGTCTGTTGTACCCGGAGGTGCGTGGCTGCATCATGGTACACCACTTCCAGACGGCCATTCGGTGCAGGCACGGCCCTAGAAGCACGATCAGGATCCGCTGGCAGGCTTTGCGCCCTACCTGTGGCATCAACGTAAAGGGAGCCTATAACCCAGGCCAACACTCCCTTCCAGCCGCTGCCGCGCACGAGAGCCAGACCAGTAGCTAGGAACCCAGAAAAACCCGCGCTGGCACTATTAGGGTGTGGTAGGGTGTCGGACTGGGAGTTACTAGGGTCGGCAGGGGAGTTGTTGGGCTGCCTTGGGCCCGGTCTGCTGCGTCCGGGTGCGATGAGGATAGCCAAGGGTGCATGGCCTGGCAAGGCAGTGTCAACACCAACCTCAGCTTCTCGAAAGAGGGCACGTAGCTCTCCCTCACGGATGCGTGCAACAATGTCCGAGCCAACAGGGCCAACACTCCGATATGTGGGCAGCTGCAGGAGGACATCGCGCACCGGTGCCCGCGGCCCCAGGTAGACGATGTTGATTTCGCCTCCAACGGGCCTTGCATCAACAACATAAGTGGTTTGCCATGCGGATGCTATGGCTTGCACAAACTGGACTGGCGGTAGTCCTGGCATGGGAGGGTAGACGCGAAGCAGGAAGATAGGGGTGGTATCCTCAACTGCTAAGTAGGCGGACCGCAATAACCCTTCCCGATCCTGAAACGGATCCGTGTCATAAAAGACAAGGCCATTGAGGGTGATAACCGCTGCCCGTTGCCATGGATTGGGGAGGTCGTCCAGGCCCTGTGATGGCACGCTGGAGGAGCTGAGCGCCAGACGGTGTGACGTCGTGCTTGAAGTGGGTGGCTCCAGGCTATACTCCACATCATACACCGGAAGAGCTTGCAAGGCGTCGTTACCGTGAAGCAAAAGGGCTTGGCAGCTAGGATCAAAGAACCCATGCCTGGTGAGGCAAACAGTGCGGCCCAGATCGAGTGGGAGGTCTTGACTCCGGGCTGCAGCTACAAGGAAGTAGCTCGCAAGCTGCTGACGCGGTCCTCGCACAACTGAATACCCCCCGCCAAGTGCACACAGATCAACTGGGATGCAAGCTTGGTTCCATGCAACTTCATTCGGCACGACCACGACCTGCTCAGGAGGCAGGCTGGGTAGCAAGGTCTGCAGCTCATGAACATGCCAAAGCTGGAATGACAACCCGAGCAATTGGAGCAAGACCCGATGCATCTGCATGCCGTGCAGTCGCACGTCCACTGCGACCGTAGTGGGCACCCCGGCTTGATGCCCAGCCACGAAAACCGCCACTGGACGGAGGTGGTTGGGACCAGCAGCATGCGGGTTATCCGCCCCGGCTGCCGGGTGCATGATGGGAATCTCAAGCTCATGTAGATGCTGCACCCGGGGCACCGGTTGCACGGCGAGGATAGAGTCCCCTCGAAAGCGCCGGGAATGCGTCACCTGAACCAGAGAGGTGGACTCAACAGGCCAGTTGGTAGCTGCAGCAGGTGTAGGAGCGCCCGTAACCGTGCCATGAACCGAAGCAGGGTATGGTGGCGCACGGCAGTCAGCAACATGTGCAGAGGCAATCAGCCAAAGCAGGGCAATGCCTTTACCTGAGCGGGGACGTGGAGCGCGGATCCTGTGCTTGGGGCAGACATGACACCGAACCCGAAAGAGAGGCTCCAGGCAAATCCAAGGGGCCCGCCACAGCCATAGGAGAGAAGGCCGAAGAAATCCAAAAGAGAGAGTGACGAGCCGAGGGACACCAGCTTCCGCACAGACAACGGCTACCCAAGAAATCAGTGCTACTGTCATTGCAGCTGTACAAAGAGTCCAGAAGACCTGTACAACCTTCCTCTCGAGCTGATTCAGAAAAACGGACAGTCCTGGTCGAGGAGCACGGCTTCTGCTTCGTCGTCCGTCTTGCCCGTAGCGAGGTGCCCATGCGGTGTCAAGCCACGTCCCAGCACCTCGTGGGGGTTTGCCCACTCCTGCAGCGTCTGCGGAGCGAAGCCGTCCAGACCCAGAATCCGCGAGTTGAGGAGGTGCGCCAACGCAATGACTCCCTGCCTGCAAGAGATAACCAAGACAGGCTGGGAATGCACCATCCCCCCCAAGTGTTGGACATCCTGCACCATGTTTAGGATGCGAGGGCCAGTGACCGAGTCGGGGTCTTGCGCATGCTCCAGCAAAGTTTTCCAGATGGCCTCTGCGATGCCATGGAAACTTGAGATTTCTGCATCGGTGGCTGGACGCCCCGGAAGGGCCGCTTGGTCCGGCGGTTGGGGCACGTCCCCTACCAGGTCGCGACCCTGAGCTGCCAAGCGTTGCACCACAGCGATCCAGGATTGGAGCCACGATCTTTGCGTCTCCACCCAGTCCAGTTCGCCCTGAGCCGAGTCCTTCTGTTCCACTGGCACCGGCGCTGCACCAGGGGTTCCAGTAGGCTCCGTAGGGTTCGGCATAGATGGGTCGGCGCTTGCATCCAGCTGGGTCTTGAGATCCCCTGGCCTGGACAGAGGCGTTGGCTTGTGGCCCAGCGGCGATCGACCTGTGGCAGCACTGGGCCATGGCGTCGAAGACCCTTCGGCCGTGCCAACATTGTCCGAAAGGGGATCGCTCCGCCTGGGACTTTTGGATGGCCTGGAGGCCGCCGGGTCTGTCGCCCTTTTCAGAGCCCACCGGCGCCCCGAGGCAGCTGCGGGGTTTCCTGGCGGGGCATGCGATCGTGTTGTCGGCTCGATCAGGGCATCCTCCACAAGGTTTCCGACCCCACCATAGCCTAGGTCCATGGTGGCGTGGAGGTCTGCAGGGCCTGCACCTGTGTTGTCCGGGAAGCCGAAGTGCCCGCCTGACATCGGCAGGATGGCAGAGCTGCCTGCCGACACTGTAGCTGCTGCTCTTAGCTCGGCAGCAATGCGTTCCCCACCATGGTCGCGATCGGTGGCCCCATGGCTTCCGCGGCTTGCTGGCGCAGGAGGGCAGCCTGCCCTGCCACCAGCCCTTGGGATGCTGCGTCGAGGGCTGCCGTGGCGTCTTGGATATCTGCATCGAGGCGTGCACCCACATTGTTGATCTGGCGGGGAACAGCCGCAAGGTGGCGGCCTACCCGGTCGAGCCATAATCCCAAGACCTGCCCCAGCGCCACTTTTGCCCGGGAGTTCGCCTCCAGGCGCTTGGTGGCTCTGGTGATTGCGGCTGCCTGTTGATTGGCCGCCTGGATAAGCGTGCGATCTTCTGCAACCGTATAGTCGTCGAGCCGCAGGTCGGATGTGGCCCGATCTCGGAGAGATTGCAGAGCTGTGATCACCTCCGCAGGGAACCCAAGTTGCACCTGCGATGTAGACGGGAGTGGCCCTTCTGCTTTGCCAGATTTGCCGCCGCCCTTCCCTTGCTTTTCCCTGGCTGGGGTCTTCGGTGGCATCGATCCGTGATGCGAGCGGAGAAGCTCGATGTCCTGTAGTTGTCCGCGGCCAGCGTGTAGGCGAGCTCTCGCCTTGCGACGCTGGTGGCGCTTTCTTCTGTGCCAGCCAGGTTCGCCTTGCCGAGGAATGGTCCACAGGAGCCTGTCCAATCCACAGAAGGAAAATCCCAAGGGTAAAGAGTGGCAGCAGGAGGAAGTAGGGTCTCCTACTGCCCATAGAATATCCACACGCCTGTCGGCAGAGTCAACTGCAGCGACAGCGCAGGCGGGGCCCAACCGCCGAGGAAAAAGGCCAGTGTAGCCGCTCACAGAGAGGGCGGACGGGGGCCAGCCGTCAAAGAAAAGGCCTTGCCACTCACAGTAGAGGGCGGGTGCAGAGCACCGTGCAGGCCCAGCAAAGGGCAGCTGCAACCAGTCCCCAGACTGGAGGCGACGCGAATGGCGGAGCAAACGCTAGGGCCTGGCACCTAATATGCAAATGGCTGAATCAAGGGGACAGCCAAATGCAATATCTGAGCCGAGACGCCTGTAACCGTTCACCCTAAATCCCAGACTCCATAATTCTGGACAACAGAAAGCCGCGACTGCCACGCCCCGATCCAAAGGCGCACTCTCATAAACTCGGGCAGAACCTTTTGGAAGCTCACATCGGTTTGGTCCTCAAGCCCCGAATTCTAAAGCCCTGCTGACACCACCACTCAACACACACTGCACTGTCGTTCTAAGTGATGCTTTCACCCCTGGCGCCTTTCATTGAAAACACATATATTTAGTGCATGGGGACCTTTACCCGGGCCTGAGCCCGAGATCTGAGCCCGAGATTCTTTGACTTATGTGTAATATGGGGGCTTGAAGAATTACCAATACCAGTCCACGGGACTCATGTTCATAGGTATAGTCTGCCCCAAGGCCCTATGCAGATTCATCAGGGCCCTTCCCTACCAGACTCATGTTCACAGTTGTTACCCATAGGCTCCATAGTAGGTAATCCCAAAAGGAACTACTATGGAGCCTATGGGTACAGAGTATCTTATAGCACACTTTTTATCACCCAAAGCCTTATTCACATAAATCAGGCCCCTTCCTTGCCGAACCCTAAACCCTGAACCCTATAGGTTTAGGGTTTACCTGGACCCTAAGGAACCTACCTTTTTAGGGTTCCTTAATATGACTTTTTTATATAAGTGCTTAAAAAACCAGGTTACGTGGGGTTAAGGTAGGGTTATAAACCTCAAATCCGCAGTCCTCAAACCTTTTTAGGAACCCCGTCATGCGGGATTCACGAGGACAAACTCCCTTGTGTCTTGGCCCGGACTTCTGGGAGGCCATTAGGCTTAAGGTTGAGGGTTTGGGGGGGGGGGGGGTGTTTAGAGGTTTGGGGGGTTCAGGGTTAGGGTTCAGGTTTTAGGGTTTAGGGGTTTCAGGCTTGAGGGTTTGGGGTTTTATGAGGTTTGGGGGTTTGGCTGGGTTCTTTGTTTACGAATTGGTTTCGGTTACTAGAGTAGGGATCTACAGTCAAAAATATCCTTTCCTTGTTATGGTAACTTAAATGAAGTTCCTTAACAAGAACCCCAGTTAGGGTTGGGGGTTAAGGGACTGTGGGGAGGCATAGTCGGCTTGGCGCTTAGTGTATCATTCTTGATGGTTGGAGGTGGAGGTTCTCCCTAGCGGCTCATACCCTACCCCTTTCTTAGGATAACTAGTTTTATGGTGAGGATCTGTTGTCTCAAAACGTAGGCGCCCTAAAAAGGGGTAGGATATGAGCCTCTAGGTAGTATGCGAGATTTCCGCCTCAGGGGTTGCAAGGAAAGGTACATCTCTGCTTGAAGGTCTTAAACCCTAACCCCGAAACTGGCCCTAAACCCTAAACAGCGTTCACTCCTGGACGGCCCCCTGGACTTAGGGTTTTGGGCAGGGTTTAGGGGAAGGCATAAAACTCGGGGAAAAGATTAAACACAGACGCCAACACTTCCAGCAGCCTCTTTGAGCACTTCCTGTTGTCCTGTTTCTAAACTCGTCCTTCCTGGAAGTTTCATTGGTGCTGCACGTGCGGTCCACCCCGTAATGAACCTCGCTGAAACATGCGGGTATACTATAGGGGCTTAAATAATTACTTATGCTATTATACTATTCTGGGGGTTCCTTATTAAAAGTAGTATTTTATAAATGGCCCCCGAACCCTATTCTAATGATTAAAGCCCCTAAAAGAAGCTCTTGTAGTACCCTTATGGTATCCCTTAAAGGAACCCTTTAAAGGAACTCTATTCTACTTGTTTTATAAGGCCCCTATATTATACTCGTGCTAAGGCACCTCGCTGCTCTTGAGGGCCATGCCGACGTGACGCGGCTGCTTCTGGGCCATGGCGGCGATCCCAACATGCGGGACCTTCGGGCTCAGAGAGAATTGGGGATTAAGGGTTTGAGCTTAGGCTTCAGGGAGCCCCGTGGGGGGTCTGAGGTTTTGGGATTTTAGGGTTGAGTGGTTTAAGAGGTTTGGAGCTTAAGGTTTCGGGGATTGGGAGTTGAACATTTTAGGAGGTTTGGGGCTTGAGCCGTGTGGGTCCATGACTCTATGACTTCTGGGATTCCTGGCGGGTTTTGGCCGGACAGACATGTGCTGTTCCCGGTGCAGATGGGTTCGTGCCGTGGGGAAATAGCTCATTTTTTCTGAGCTTAAAGTTCAAGCGTTGGGGTTCGGGGTTTTGGATTTCTAGCTTCAGTTTTCGGCGTGCGGTTCAGGCTTGAGGGCTGCCGCTCTTGTGGTGGAGTATAGGGGCTTGAATAATTACCGATAGTTTCTATTTTGGGAGTCATTGTTCTAGTATAATATACGGTACCCCCAAATCCTGTAAGAAATATTAAGGCCATCAGGTCTTGGGGCCTTAGGCCAATCTTGGCCACCGTGCAGGCTTCCCACTGTGGCCCACATCGGGAGCCACACGCGGGCTCACCAAAGCAAGTTGCAACGGACAGGTGCCTAAACCCCGAAACCTAAACAACAAACCAAACCCCGCTTCCTTCAAAAACAAATTTATTCTACACACTCAACCCTACCCGCCAACTGCCTCTGGTCTTCGGGCCACCCCCCAGGCCCCACCAGAATTCGAGCTTCAGGAACCGACTACAGGCTTCTTAGTGTTGAGGGTTTGGGGTCGCAGAGAAGGGTGGCTGGTTTGAAGTTTTATTGTTTATAGGGATTTGGGGTTTAGGGTTTTTGGGGGTTTCGGGTGTTACGATGCTTACGTATTAATTAAGTCAGGTTATAAGTATTAGTCAGCTTTGGAAGTATAGTCACTTTATTTAGAACCCTAGTTGCTAAATCCCATGATCCTTTAAGTACGGTTCCGAGTTTAGGGTTGCAGGAAACTTCATGGTTCCTCGGAGTTAAATCCCCCGAAGTTGCGAGAGGACTATGCCGGATTCAACGCGGCATGGTGGGCCAAGGTGCTCAGCCAAAACCCCAAGGGTCCAAAGGACCCAATAATTGCGCACTCGGTTTTAGGATAGTAGTTCTGTAGGTTAGGATGTTGGAGAGTATATGATGATTGAGTAATCGGACCCTTGGGAAAGGAGATGGTGTAGGGTGGAGCTAGGATTAGGGGTACCCTTGGGGATATAGGTCCTCTCAAGAAGGTTCCCCGCTGAGAGAGCCAGAAGTAGGGTTAAGAAGGGTCCCCTTTAAGGGGTCTCCCTGATATACTTAGAGTTAGGGTGTAGGTTTTTGCGAATCGTTTTTTTTTGGTTCGGGATAGGTTACCTGGAGCAACCCGACACCTGAACATCCAAATCTGGAGCTGTCAACATCTGCAAATTCTTGCATTAAGGTTTACAATAAGACCCTGCAGATAGCTGAAGGTGAGGGTTCTGTAGCTTCCACCACTTCCCCACTCTGGGGCTTCGAGTAGCTTACAGGAGTCAATAGTAGACTTGAGCCGTAAGCTCTGCATAGTGATGAACCCTAAACCATCCTAAACCCTAACCTAAAATTTCAACTTGAACAGTATAAACCTTCAGCGGCCCTAAACTTCTAAACCATCCCTAAACCCTAACCTAAAACCTGAACAGTAAGCCCTCAACTCCGTTGAATCTCCAAACCCTAAACTTATCTTAAGTTAGTAGGGAATGGAGGAATGTGGTACGTTTTTCACTACTATTACTACCATTAACCATTCTTCCATTCCCTACTAACCAAAAGTAAGTAAACCCTGAACCCTAAACTCCGACACCGTATGCATAGACTTGGAATGGAGCTTCGGGCTCCCCAGCCCAAGCTAACCTTTAACTTACCTTTGGTTAGTAGGGAATGGAAGAATGGTAGTAATAGTAGTTGTAATTGTACCCCATTCCTTCATTCCCTACTAGCCAAAGGTAAGTTAATAGCTTGCATGCATGTATTTTTGGTGTCGCTGTGCCATATTGGGAGTTCCCCGAAAA